CCCAGTACCTCAATCAGGATGTGGGATCAGATTTCAGATCATTGCTTCTCCCTCTTCCTGTAAATGTTTCTAAGGCTGTGTGTTGTCCAGCCTTAGAAAGGAGTACAGTGTATCAGGAAGGGAGTACAGTGTAATGGTTAAGTGACCTCCAGAAACAGGTAGCTTGGATTTGAATCTCAGTTAAACCACTTAGTAGCTGTGTGACCTTGGACAAGTTATCTAGCTTCTTTGTGTCTCATCTGTAAAAAAAAAAAAAAAAAAAAGAAAAAAAAGAAAGGGGGGACATTGTGCCTACTCTATAGGTGAAAATAAATGAATCAATATAGTGCTCACTTTTGACAGATAGCATTCTGTAAATGTTTGCTGTTATGATTATCCCTTCCACTCATTCTTGTCCTCTACTATCCTTCTCAACTCATTCATTGATGACCCTGGCACCTGACTCTACAGCATATGAATGTTCATCAGACACCCTGGCTTCTTAGTTCCTTGACTTTCTCAATTTGAATGTCCTTAACCTCTATTCCTTTTCAGCCACACAAATCCATGAACTTCCTTGTAACTGGGAAGTTCTACCATTGAAGCATTAAATGTAAACATCCCACTCTGACCAAAATCTTCTATGCTGTCAGCTTTCAGTTCATTATTCTGTAACATTATTTTTAAAAGTCATTGTGGACTCCATCCCTCAAACCCCTATCAGTCATCTCCCACTATCACTCCTCTAGCCAGTCAACCACTCTCTTGCCACTAGCCTCAAAATTTTTGCTTTCTTTAATTTCCACTGTTACAGATCCCATCCCCACATAAATTCAGTGGAACTACCCTGTCCTTGGTGCAAACTGTGGCTGGAGAAAATCACACATCCACCCTGTCTACAATAGAGATGAAAAATAGATGGAGAAATAAAGAGTCCTGGTGGCTTTGCATCTGCAGTTTTGGTTCTTGAGGTCCTACCTCGTTCCTGCCACTCCTGCTTTGACTCTATGAGCTCCTTCAGTGCACTTTCTGTGAGCCAATATATTTCCACTTGCTTAGCTAAATTGAATTGAGTTTCTATTAAAACAATCTTGACTAATATGCCCCTTCCATCCAAGACTGGTTTTGTATCCCTTCTTTGTTCCTTCAGTAACATCCAGTGTTTACCACTGTATTTTTGAAAAGAGCGATGTCTAATTTATCCATGATTACTTTAGCAGTGGTCACATTGAATTGTTGTTATCTGTTTATCTGTCTCTATCACTAAACTGTAATCATCCTGAGAGTTGGGACTTCAATCTTGGATATAATAGTTTCTCAGTCTATGTGAGATGAATGAATGATCAAATGGACAAATGAAGTGTGATCTAAGATCATGGGCTTTGGTATCAAAAAGATCTAGACTTGAATTCTGGCTGTATCACTTATTCTCTGGGTGACATGAGATAATTTGCTTAACCTCTCTGAACCTTGGTTTCTTTGTTACCTGTAATCTATAAAATGTGGATAATAATGGCTACCCTTCAAGAATATCATTAGAATTAAGTGAAAGATGTACAAATAAATGCCCGCTACCTAGAAGAGCTCTGTAAATGGTAGCTTTAAAAGGGAGGGAGGCATGGAAAGACATGAAGATAAGTGGAGAGGACTCATTGGTCACTACTAAGGAGAGCACTGGTCACCTTGGATCTCTGGGAAGGGAATATACAGGATACTTTCAGGAGGGTAGCTAGAAAAAAAAAAGATCGAGCAAAGAAGACAACCACAACAGAGAGGAACCAAAGTGATTACTAAACCAAGTTATTTGAGGATAGTGACTGTATCTATTTTATTAATATATTTTTAGCACCTAGCATTGCAAACAACCTTGCAAATGTTTATTGAATAAATGAATGAATATTGATTAGGATCTTATCAGATTCTTGGCCTTGATAAATAATCTATAGATGTATGTTATTTAAAATAATGTAAATATAAATTTAATAGAAATGGGTATTAAAATATATTTGCAAAAAAGAAATATAAGCTTTTTTAAATGTGGAAAATTTAGCTGGACATGGTAGTACACACCTGTAGTCCTAGCTGCTTGGGAGGCTGAGGCAGGAAGATTGCTTGAGCCCAAGAATTCAAGACTGCAGTGAGCTATGATCACACTACTGCACTCCAGCTTGGGCAACACAGTGAGACCCTGACTGGTATTTTAAAAAAAAAAAGGTATGTATATTTTTTGAGTATTTTTCTGAATTCTTTTCCTCTCCTTTGGAAATATATTTTGTGAATTCACTTTACGATATCAGATAACCATATAATCAACAAATAAAATTTTCAGTGTTTGTAAGACCCTTTTATTTAAGAGGACCATCCTAACTCTCTAGTCATTTGCCTTGAAAATGACTAGATAAGCTCCATTTAAGCATATGAAGCTTTAAATTTAAGGAAAAGGACAGAAGAGAAATGTGGAAAAATTACAAATAAGTTTAATTCACATTTTTAAAGTCTTTGGAACTCACTTCACAAAACTTCAATATCCTATTGTTTATGTAGTTGTTAAAATTTCAGCTTAGGAAATTTCCCCAGTCCTCAGTCTTGGTTTCCATAGATAGATAAGAAATTCAGGATTTGAAACATGAGACATTGATCTTTGACAGTGAGGGAAAAACCTGAAACTCTTCTTTCATTTTTGTTTTGTTCCCAGTGAAATCTGAAGCATTTAAAAATTCATCCCATATCTATATTGACACCCAGGGTTTTTCCTTATCATCATGACTTGGGAGATAGTAAGTCTGACCACCAGAAACTGTGACCACAGGAATAGTCAACTCTTTTCCCTACCCTTAATTTTCACAGGATTGAAATCATCTGAATTTTAAGTTTTGTATTTTGCCTTTTTCAGTTATATTTCTAACATAAGACTTTTCTGTGCGATTAAAAATTACCTATAAATGTAATAATGTTTAGTGGCTGCACAGTATTTGTTGTATGAATGTATCATAATTTTTGTAACCATTCCCCTTTTTTTGAACACTTGGGTTTCCAACTTTTAGTTGTTACAAACCACACTACAATGAAAAGTTTTGAGCAAAATGTTTTATTTCAGATTATTTCCTAAGCAAAGGTCTCCCCAGAAGAATTACTAGTTCAAAAGCCATAAAAATATCTTACTTTCTCAATACCTACTGTCAACTGACTTTCACCAACAGTTTAAGAGAGTGTCTATTTCAATATACCTTTCCAGTCTTGGCTAGTCTTAAGAGAAAAGTTTTTGACTAATTTGATACATGAAATTATGTCTAATTTTAACTTGTATTTATTGGATCACTGTAGAGGTTCAATTCTTGGCCATTTTTGTGAATTGAATTGTTTATTTTTCTTTTTAGATGTTAATGTTTTGTTGATATGCATAAAATCTTTATTTTAAAAATGTAGTGTCTGGGCTGGGTGTGGTGGCTCATGCCTGTAATCTTAGCAATTTGGGAGGCTGAGGCAGGTGGATCATTTGAGGTCAGGAGTTCAAGACCAGCCTGACCAACATGGTGAAACCCCACCTCTACTAAAAATACAAAAAGTAGCTGGGTGTGATGGTATGTACCTGTAATCCCAGCTACTCGGGAGACTGAGGCAGGAGAATTGTTTGAGCCCAGGAGGCGGAGGTTGCAGTGAATCGAGATCCCACCACTGCACTCCAGACTGGGCGATGGAGGGAGACTCCATCTCAAAAAAAAAAAAAAAAAAAAAAATGTAGTGATGTAGTGTCTGTCATATTATGGATATTTTTCTCAATTTGATTTTTACCTTCCACTTAATACACATTTATGTGAATCTCCCCCATGTGCCAGGCACTAGTCTAATCATCAAGGATGAAATAGACACAGTCCCTGCCCTTAAGGATCTTACAGTCTAACAGAGGGAAGCTGGCAGATAAACAGTGACTGCAATAAAATTTGCACATCCTCCACCAGAAGTACAAATAGGCTATAGTGGATGCACTAAAAGACGTGAGTGGCCAATTGGACATGTCGGGGCCAGGAAAAGGCTTCAGAGACGATTCTTAACTAAGAATAAAAAGCTTTACTAGAGTGACAAGGGACAAAGTAGGAAAGGCATTCCAAGCAGAGGAACACCAAAAGATAGGGCCGGAGATCTGGTTAGTGGATTTGGGTTTGGCTTCAGTAGTTGGGTTTGTCTGAGGAGTAAAATGTCAGGAAAATCCAGTAGAAGAAAGGGCTGGAGAGACCTCAGAAGTCACATAATTTTAAAAATCATACATAACTTTTTGAGTAAGCTTTCTCTTTCTGATCTTACATAATGTTTAACATTAAAAAAAAAAAAAAGTCCTTCCTAGCCCCAGAGATTTGATGTTTACCTTCATTTTCTTCTAGTTTCTGTTTACATTTAATCTATCAGGAGTTGCCTTTGGTATATAATGGCAAACTTCATTTGGATCTTATTTTTTCTGTTTTAATGTTTATATGGTTCACTAAACTTCCTTCTGTAACCTTACTTTAATAATGGGTAAAAACAGGGGGTGTTAAATATCTAATAAAGAGTATTTATGCCCAGGTGGGGACAATGCTAAGGACAACAAAAGAAATTTCACTGGGGTTTGCTATTTTAATACCTAAATACCAAAAGGGAGCTGTGCCAAACATCACGAGTGCAGATATGCAGCCTTTTAGGGTCCTGGCTCTCAGAATACCACTACTACTTTGTATTCAAAAATTAATAATTTTTGAGGAGCCAACCATGTTTCCACAAAAAGTAATTTATTTACATGATAACTGAAGAGGGGAGAGGGAGGAGAAATATATCATTGCCTGCTTCATTTGTTTACTACTACCAGAAATTAGGTGGAGTCAGGCTTCCTCCCCTGATGCCAGCTGGAGATTGAGTGGGGTTGGCATCTCTCTGCTGTACCGGCCAGACACTGAGACAGTTGACAACTGAGAGCTGTGATTGGTTAGAAAGGCAAAAGTAACCCTACCAGATTGGCTCTGGACTCCCCCAGATTCCCCTGTTGTTACTTCATAACATTCTGAAGACCTGTCCACCAATCACAGGACTCCTTACTGGAAAAACCAACTGCTGGGGAGTGCCAAGAGTCCCTAGCAACGCCCTGCAGCTTTTGAAATCTGAGGGGAAAAGACTGTAGTCAGCCCCTAGTGGATGAGAGCACCTATGCCCCAGAAAGAGCAGGCTCCCAGGATGGACACCTCGCCCCCTGAAGAACGCTTAGAGAAGCAAAATGAAAAACTGAACAACCAGGAAGAGGAGATGGAGTTTAAGGAACTGGACGATCTGAGGGAAGCCTTGGCAAACCTGCGGGGACTGTCAGAGGAGGAGAGGAGCGAGAAGGCTATGCTTCGCTCCCGCATTGAAGATCAGTCCCAGCTCATCTGCATCCTGAAGCGGAGGTCAGATGAGGCCCTGGAGCGCTGCCAGATCCTAGAGCTGCTCAATGCAGAGCTGGAGGAGAAGATGATGCAGGAGGCTGAGAAGCTCAAGGCCCAGGGTGAGTACACTCGGAAGGTAGAGGAACGCTTTATGACCCTAGCAGCCAACCACGAGTTGATGATCCGCTTCAAGGATGAATACAAGAGTGAGAACATCAAACTGAGGGAGGAGAATGAGAAACTGAAGCTGGAGAATAGCAGCCTCTTCAGCCAGGCTCTGAAGGATGAGGAGGCAAAAGTATTACAGCTCACAGTCCGGTGTGAGGCTCTCACTGGGGAGCTAGAGACGCTGAAGGAGAGGTGTGCTCAGGATGCTTGCCAGGCACAGGCGCGCGAGAAGGAGCTGCTGGAGCTACAGAGCCAGCAGGCCTGCACCCACACCAAAGAGACAGAACAGCTGCACAGCCAGCTGCAGACTCTCAAGCAGCAGCACCAGCAGGCTGTGGAGCAGATGGCTAAAGCAGAGGAGACACACAGCAGCCTGAGCCAGGAGCTGCAGGCCAGGCTGCAGACCGTCACTAGAGAGAAAGAGGAGTTGCTGCAGCTGTCAATGGAAAGGGGCAAAGTGCTTCAGAACAAACAGGCAGAGATCCGCCAGCTTGAGGAAAAGTTGGAGATAGCAAATGAGGGCAGGAAGCATGCGCTGGAGCGGTTTAAGCAAGAGGCAGTGGCTGTGGACAGCAACTTGAGAGTCAGGGAGCTTCAGTGCAAAGTAGATGGGATCCAGAAGGCCTACGATGAACTCAGGCTGCAGTCTGAAGCCTTCAAAAAGCACAGCCTGGATCTTTTAAGCAAGGAGAGAGAACTCAATGGCAAACTCCGCCATCTCTTTCCATAAGCAAGTTTCTGCTTCCTCTGGCCTGCAATTCAGAATTCAAATATTTGTGTCTTAGCATTATGGCAAGAGTAAAGATGATATCCCATTTATTATACTTTTAAGCACAAAAGGCAACTCAAAGAAAAGCTACTTTACTATGATATTGTTGTGATTATTGTAAAGCCATTATTAATTTTCATTTCTACCACCTAGAATACACAAGATTTGCCAGATTTCCTTCTGTGCCTTAGAAATCTTAAATTTACTAGTAGTATCTTCTCCTACCCATAACTTCTTAATTCTCAACCTCAGCTATCTTCATATATTTTAGGATTTTAAATTGGCAACTTCTATTATTTAAGTCAATCTAAATGCAGTGAGATGTGCCATTGTGAAAAATAATTAGCACAATTACCCATTGTAGATAGTTAGGCTTATAGTCTCCCATAGTTGAGACTGTAAGCAAACAGTTATCAGCATAATAGCGTGAATACTTTGCGGGAAAAATAATTGTCTGACTTTATTTTATTTTGCACTAGCTTGGAAAATGATTGAGATCAAGTTCTTTAACGAAGTGGGTCAATTTTATTCTATATTAGCAATATGATTCAAATAAGTTATATAAAACCATTTTTATTTTTTCTGCAAGCTTAGATAATATTCCTTTTTTTGTTTTCTCAAAAAGAGGATTTAGATGTGCAATAATGCAAATACCAGTAGCTTAATTTAATATTGCAAAATATGCTAATAGACAATTAGACAATTTGGGGTAATAAATCATAGCAGACATGATCTATAGAGTAACTCAGAAATTGTTTTCTGTTTCTATTAGCATTTTTTGTAATTAAGTTTTTCCTTTTAAAAAATCTAAGCTGAATGTGTATATGTATGCTTGCAGCATTTTTGTAGTAATACCTACATTTTGTAAGAATACTTATAAAAGCATAGTTTTATATATATATATACATATATATATATCCGTGTAAAGTTCTTTAAAAAGTTCTCAAAGGTATATTTTCTTCCTGTAATTAGGTATTGACATATAAACATTATTATGAATACCTCTCAAAATAGATTGTAATGTAGTATTTTTCTCACCCATTTTGGTGAAGGCTACCAAGTTACATAATGAATTTACTTAAAAAATATGACTTGGTGCCTTTTTAATAAAACTATTTCCAAGCAAGTGTTACCTTACCTCAGGTAATTTTTTTACACCCATTTTTTCACACTTCTATTAAGATTATGCTATTAAATACAAACTTTTCTCGTCAAAATAGAAACCACACTGCCAGCTTCAAAGGACTATTTACTTCCTCCTACAGGTTACCAAGAATCAGAATATAGGAGCTAAGTTAATCATGGATATCCTTTATTGAGCCCATACTATTTATCATTGTGCTGAAGCAATTTGGATGAATTACTTTATTTAATCCTTAGGACTATTCAAGAAGGAAAGTGTGCTCATTTCTATTTTAAGGAAGAGGAGACTGGTTTCGGGAATTTTGCTTAAGGCCAGTTGGTCACTGGAGGAGCTGGGATTTTGATGAGTACAGCACATTGAAAGATAATTTTTGGCGACTGAGTGCCAGGTGCTGGGGTAGCCACTAAGAAGAAGCATTAAAAAGCATGTTTACTGCCCTGGAAGAGCCCTCATACAGTCTAAGGGCAATAATAATAATAATAATTACATATACTGTGATCACAGGGGAAAGACATAGGTAGTATCTAGCCCTGCCTGGTGGTAAGGGTTGGGTTGGCGGGGAGGACTCCTAGGGATGATTAATTTCCTCAGGTGGAGAAAAGGGAGAAAGGGTTGAGACAGCATCGTGTAGAAAGCATAGAGGTATTTTTAAATGCCCAGAATACTTGGGGGAATCATAGCAGCTGGGAACAGGAGAGGAGACGCATGTGTGCAGATAAAACTGTAAACAGTAGGTTGGGGCCATAATATAGGGGACCTTGAAAGCCAGGCTGGCCCGTTATATGAGAGAGAGGGAGGGGCGCGAGAGGAGGGGCAAACGTACAAACGGAAGCCACGGACCCAGCCCGCGTTTTCCCATCCAGATCCGCGCTGCTCTGCGAGGGGCCTGGTGCGCATGCGTGCCGACCCTCACGCCGCTCTACCGCTCCTCCTACCTCCCGTAACCTGCAAGTCCTTGCTCGGCTCATCCACCCGAAACTGCGGCCTCGTGGTCGTCCTTGGGGCCTAAGTTTTGCCCCCAGCCTGCTGGGAGAAGTCCCATGGGCAGAGGCCGAACGGTTCTGGAGCAGGCTGAGGGCCGTTTGGGTATGAATCCCGGAATTCCGGGTACTGGAGTGTGGTCTAGAAGGGGAGTGAGCTCCAGGGACTCCACGTTACGTGGGGGGGAAGAGCGCATCTGGAAGATCGCGTCGGGGGAGTAGGGCATGGGGTAGGGGCGCGTGTCCCCCAAAACTCGGGCGCAGGGGAAAGAGCCCAGTTGCCCTGGTCTGAGGACCGTAGTGTTCCAAGCTGTGCCAAGGAACACATACGTTTGATTCTTATTTGCCGTTTTGTAGATCCTAAGTCGTCAGATACGGGCCATTTAATAAGATTCACCCTAATACCCATTTGAAAAATTTTGAAAGTGGGAAATGAGAGTAGAAAGTTAAAGATAGATGGCTCTGAAGAACAACCGCAGAAGAGCCCACAACATAGGCCAAGAGGAATGTGCACCTATCATGTGTCAGGTGCTTTTCATTCCGCCCTCATAACAACTCTTCAAGGGAGGTTCAGTTATCACAATTTTACAGGTGAAAAAAAGGGAGACTCAGGGTGACTTGTCCAAAGCCAGGAAGGTTTGGAGAGGCAAGAGTGAGTTTTGAACCTAAGGCCCTGGGTATGCTGCCTACACAGGCCCCCACACCTGGTTTAATGCTCACTGTTGCTGTCGCGAAATTCTTATTAATTTTTTAACAAGCGGCTCCATATTTTAATTTTTGTTCTGGGTACTATCAAGGAAGTAGCTGGGCCTGTTTTCTGGCTCTAAAACCCATGCTCCAGAAGGAGCAAACTCCTTCTTAGGAGCCTTAAAAAGGCATTGTCTTCCTCTGTGCTCCGTGGTACTTTATATTCCACTCTGTCAGTCCTCATATTTAATCTGTGACCCAGAGCCACATCAGGGGATAAGCAACCAGTTTATCTATTATGGTATGTTGCTCTATTAAGTGATGCTTATCACTGGAACAAAGTGACAAAATGTAAATCAGCCTCCTCCAAACTACTGCCTTTGAAATTTAAGCAGACCTATATCCCTGCTGAATTTTTCTGTAACATCTACAAGCAGTAGCTCTCAAATGAAAGCAGAACAGAGATCCTAAAAGCAAATAATGTATGAGTAGTGCCGTGTAGCTGATAGGTGTGACTTTTTGTTACCTAAACTGTGAGCTCTTCAGTGTGCTGTAAGGAACTTGTCTGGTTCCAAAAAATTCTGAAAGAGAGCTTGAAAAGAGGAGAGCTACAGGAGAAGTGAACTGACTGGTATTTTCAGAATACTAACTCTGCTTCAGTTAGAGAAAATGAATTCAAGTTAGTTTGTTTCTAGTAAACAAAATATTAATAGAAAATCTTTGTCAACCTGACTCCATATATTAAACAATTATTTAAAGAAAGTTGTTTGAAGGAGTACCTGCCCAGGTGCCTGCTGTTCTACTCAGCCCTCCTTTCCCTAGATACCGATGAGGTAGCTGTGGCTGAGTCAGGTCAGGGATATTCTGCTTTCTACTATGAGGAGACCAACAGAGCTGGGCAGACTTGAGATACCGCCTCTTTGCCCACAAAGAAAAGAGGACGATGACTCTTAACTGCTCCCCTAAAAGCCTACCCTCCCCCTCCAGGCAGCTTGTCTGCCAGTGTCATTGGCCAAAATTGGGTCATATGCAAATACCTCAGCCAAGCATCTTCATAGGGCATGTTGCCAGCATGATTGATTTAGACCAATCAGGATCCACCCTGAGATGGGAATGAGGCCAGTCTGTGCCACATAGTGGAAGGGACTACCTGGCAAAGGCAGGGCTCTGCCAGCAGGAATGAAGGAGGATGGATGTTGGATGGTCCATCAATAGTGCCTTCTGTGCTACATCTGTTTAGACTGCCAGAGCCTTATCAGACAGGGAGCCTTTTTAAATCCTTAATCACAAGTCTTGGCCTCTTAAAAAAGTTACTGGAATTTGGGGAAGTGGCTGAGAATAAGCTTTTCTAATTATTGTGTAAATTGGATGTTACTTTCTAAACACTAAAAACATTAAACTTAGGGGACACCTAGAGCTCTACAGATGAGTCTCCCTACTTGATGCTGTTCTCTCTAAAACCTCCTGTTTATTCCACTTGGGAAAAATGAATCGAAGAAAAAAACTTGTTCTTGCACAGATCTGTCTGGTCATTCATTACACATTCAACTGACTACGGTGCTCTCACAACACCCTTAATCCCCAGTCCCACAGAGGGACTCCTACCTTAGCTACTTGCCAGACAGTTCCCACTTAATGCTGTAATCCACTCTTATTTGTACTAGTCTAAAATAATCTTCGTTTTCATGTTTAAGGTTATTCATTACATCATTGTTACAGCAAAAGATTGGAAATAGCTTACATACCATCAATAGGGAACAGATTATATGAACTATGGATCCTTCACACTGTGGAACACAGTGCAACTGTAAAACAAAAGGAAAAGGAAGATGTTAATGTATTGATATAGAACTATCTCCAGGATATATGCAGAAAAAAACACAAGCTATAGAGCAATATCCATATAATACTATATTCTGTGTAAGGGGGAGAGGAGGAGGGGTATTAGCATGCAAACATTTCCAGCTGCATAAATAAATATTGGAAAAAAAGTTGTTATTAGTGGTGTGGAAGCATAAAGGGAATGAGGTGGTCAGGGATAGGAATGGGAAAGAAACTTCTTAATGTATACCATTTTGTATCATTTGACTTTTGAACTATGTGAATATATTACCTATTCAAAAGATAGTAAAATTGAAAACAAAAATAAAAGAATCTTCCATATATCTGTTTAATTTCCCAATAAGATATATTTCTGTTTAGGCGATTCAAAAGCCTGCACATTTTCCCCTCTCCAAGAACTGGGTAGGCATGGCATATTTTAGATAAAGCCAAATATGGCCTGACAGATCTGGGTCAGAACGTTCAGCTGGAAGCTGCTGCTTTCACAAATGTTCAACAACATATGCCTAATGACAATATCTTTTTCTTCCCTAAAGAATGCCTCTCAATGATTAGTATTTCTCTCCTAAAGATTTGGGTGTGTTAGCTTCTTTCATGGATTTTCACATGTCTGTATAAATCTTAGATTTTAGAGAGTCTGTTTTCTTATATATTCAAGCTTTTAGGCTTTTGGTATTCATTTTTGTTTTTATGCTGACATACCAACAAAAGGTAGAGGAGGTAGATCAGCCATTCTGATCTTTCATTTCTGATCTTTCTGATCCTAATTACTAACTCATTCACTGAATATATTGCATTAATTTAACAAATATTCATTGAGAGTCTATTAGCCAAGACACTATGCTAAGTGGTGGGATACAATGTGAGCAAGATAGAGACCTTATCTTCACTGACTTTGCATCTTTCTGGATGAGAAAAATGCTGAACAATAGGAGGACATGGAAGTGCATAGCAGGGTCCTCCAACCTAATGTAGGAGTGATTAGAGGAAGCTTTTCCTGGAGATGGATTTAAGGTATCTGTAGAATGTGTAAAAACTGTCCAAGAGAAGAGGAAAACATGAGAGTACAGTAGCTTGGAAAGCTTCACAGTACCTCCTGTTCCTGATCAAGAAAACTGCCTTTCCCAACAACTGTACCATTCAGGGCTACAGAATAAGCAGCTCCAAATAGATTCAAGAGATTCTCTGGCCAGATTAATCCCATTATGCTCACATCCACATTTACATTAGTCCTTTCCAGAAGTCTGAGCCTTCATAATCTTACTCAATCCTTCCCCTCCCCCACCACCATTCCCATGCAAACTCTTTGACTGAGCCCTTTGGAAACTCAGATCTATGATCAGCAAACCAGCTGAAGTATTAGTGTAGTAAGCAAAAGGGTGCATTGGCATAAGACTGCCTAGATTCAAATCCTGACTGTTACTGGGTGACCTTAAATTAGGTCTTAGTGGGTGAAGAGGTAACCAGAAAGCTAAAATCTTCAGTAAGGAAGAGATAAGAGGATGACATGGCATGAATTTCAAATTGGTATAACCATACAAAGAAAAGAATTATCCAAAAGGCTTTAGAAAACAGTATTTTCAATGAATATCCTTAATGGAGTATATTCCAAGGACAAATTGAACTGCAAAGAAATCTTAGTAAATTTCATTCATTAGCTTGTTAGTTGTAATATTGGCAATTATATGAACATTTATATATATATTGAAGCGAAAGCAAAAAATGATTATGTTATTGTTGCTAGGGAGAAAATTTTCAAGATTTAAGTGCAGGTATTTAAAAAGTTAAGTAAAATATTATTTAATGTTTAATTTGAATTTAAAATACCAGTCTAAATCCCTGACAGTTTTTCTGTTAAAAAAAAAATACATATTCCCTAGCTCTGTCAACTGAAATGCCTAGAAGCAATAAAAATCCAATGCAGTGAGCATCCCTAGGGCCTGTTTCTGGCCTCCCAAAACTGTTTTCCACGAAATTGAAGAAAGGCTCCCTGGAGGAGACACTGATTTCAGAACTGGTGTAGGAAAAGTACAAGATAAACCTGAAAAATCTAGGTGTGTCAGAAAGCAAATTAACTATCAGAAACTAATGGAGTTCTGTCAAATAGACAAGAGAGCTAAATTGGAGGGGCTCTCAGTGGCCAAAGATGATTGATTTGAGCACCAAAATCTATAACCACAATTGAGTGAAACACTGAATATCATGATACACCCCCCAAAAAGATTAATTACAATTAAAGAGAATTAATTGAACATTTATTCTACTTTGCCTGTTCTCTGTATTTCAGGAAAACAAAGTGACTTCTAAGTAATGAAAGTTGCTTTTCACAGAATAATACCAGATAAAAGTAAAAAGGCATTTTAAAAATAATTGTGTAACCTTGACTGAAATAACTTAGGAACTGATCATCATTAGATGAAACCATTAGGAGAAAGGTTAATGGGGAATTTTGCAGTGGGGGAATTAGACTGTCACCACTTGAAAACATTGATCAATCTTAGCATTAGTACAGTAAAACAGGACAGCTAAGTATTGTGTGCCTCCTGGTATAATGCAGTATGCAGAGCAGCACCTCCT